TGTACATGCCCTTGACTGGAATGGAACCTGGGACCTTTCAGTCCGCAGACCGACGGCTTGACCACTGAGCCAAACCGGCTTCGGCAAGAACACATGACCTTTTGGTGCATGGAATAATGCTCAATCAGCTGAACCATACAGCCAGTGTAGCTTTTTTACTTTTAAGGACATAGATGTGTTATATTTGATTGACCATTATATTACTCATTTTTTAAAACACACTCAATAATTGTGTTAGCTTTCATTATTCTACTCCAGTGACTCTCAACCCTTGGCTTACCAAAAGAGCTGCCTATTAAAATAAATTGCATATTTCTATACCATGCTTCGAGAAATTCTTATTTAGGTTTGATTAAGGGCCCAGGAATATGCATTTTAAACACACACACACACACACACACACACACACACACACACACAGAGTTAATTGTGCCTAGAAGAAGAGTTGGGTGGGGAAAATTAAGGTATACCGGTAATAGAAACCTGGCCCTCTTACTTACTAGCTGTGTTATAGTGAGCAAATTGCCTAATTTCTGTGAGCCTCAATATAATTTGAGTTTTCCACTAGAGATGATAACCAGAAATTTAAGAAAGGAGAGGAGTTTGGTATGAAGTGCTTACTGGTTATGTTCTGCGTTTTCAACATTTCATTTATAACCCTCCCCAAATCCCCGTGACAGGTATCATTTCCCTTGCTTTAGAGATGGGAAAGCTGAGGTCTGAGTGATTAAATTACTTGCTCAGCAAGTTAATTGCCAACAGTTAGCATGTTGGCAGATCCAGTTTGGGGACTTAGATAATATGATTCCAGAACTGTGCTATTAGTTACTGTGTGCGCTAGCCTCTGTGAAAAGAGAAGCATGATGATAAACTTGAGAGGTCTGTGTCTTCAGAGCACAGGAAATTGGAAGGAGATGAGGTTAACAAGGTGGGTAGGGTTAGACCATGTAATTCCTTGAACATTATGTTATGGATTTTTGTTTCAGCCAAAGTACAGTGTAAAGGCATGGAATGCTTAAATAGAGGGATGACATAATTGGGTTTGCATTTTGAAAGGTCATGGTTGTAGTAGACCAAATGGATTGGGGGGGGCGGGCAATAGTGGTAGATGCAGTGGCACTCTTTTGGAGGCTGTTATAGTAAGTAGCCTGAGTAAGATAAAGTGGTAGCCTGGAGAGACTAAGGAAGTGATTATGCAGATGGAGGAAAGTGGGACAATTTGAGAAAGATTTAGGACATCTACAAGAGTTGGTGATGGATTGCATTATGAATGAATAGAGGGTATCAAAAATAACTCTTTAGGTTCTGAATTGCTGAAGTGGATACACTTTATTTTATATAAAACATACAGAAAGATGAGGTTGAATGACTAGATAATGTTATTAGAAGTGCCTTTGAGATATCCAAGAGGAGATGTCAAATACATATAATTTTATAGTATCATTGATAAATAAATGGGCTGTCCATTCTTTTGTCCCTTTTAACAGCTGGTGAGTACTTTTCCAGAGCTTTATTACAGTTGTTATCTCTCAAGTTACTGGTGATAAAAAATAATATAGAGTTTGACTCTTAGTTATTATAGCTAGTAAAAAGAATGTGAAAAGATTCTTCAATATAGAAAGCAAATAAGGAAAAGTATGCTAAGACAGTTCTCCTTTGGAGAATGGCAGAACTGAGAATATATCCTAGGGAAAACACTAGTAGAAAGAGGACCAAAGGGCTAATCTAAATATAAAATAACAATTTAAAAGTCATTCAGCAAACACGTTTTGATTGTTTATGTGATACTCTCAGGTTTTATGAATGCTCTAGAACTTTACGATCTATACTAGAGGCCCGGTGCATGAATTCAAGGGTGGGGTCCCTTGGTCTGGCCAGTGATTAGGGCCGATCAAGGCAGAGGGGTCTGGCTAGCCAGGGGGAGGGATCATGGGAGGTTGGCCGGCCACAGGAGGTTGGCTGTGGGGGTGCACTGACTACCAGGAGGCCGCTCCTGCATTGAGTGTCTGCACCTTCATGGTCAGTGTGCATCATAGCAACTGGTTGACCCATCAGTTGCTTAGGCTTTTATATATATATAGACTAGAGGCCCAGAGTGCGATTAAATCGTGCAGGTAGGGTCCCTAGGCCTAGCCTGCTGCAATCAGAGCCATCTTCCCAGGCTGAATGCCACCCCTGCCGCCATGCTGTCGGGCCATTGGGATCACCAGCTCATTCCCGGCTCATCCCTCAGGCCTGTGGGAAAGTGGGCACAGGAGACTTCACCTCCATGTGCGTGCGCTGGGCTGGCCGCCTGCTGATGGAATGCACTGCCTGCTTGGGCCGCTCACGCAGGTGCCACTGCCCCTGGTACTGGGGCTTGACGTGCTGATGGAGGCTGCAGGGCGCGCCCGAGACCTACCCACCCCAGTGTGAGCATCCCCAAGCGGGCAGCGCACGTGCATGGAGGTGAAGGTGCCAGCACCTGCTTTCCCACAGGCCTGAGCCCCTGAGCAGCTGGGCATGAGCTGGTGATCTCAACGGCCTGACAGCCAGCCGGCCCTCCTACCATCCATCCTGACTACCCCATTCACTGCCGCTGATTCATTGGATCCTGTGGGCCTATGGGGAGGGACCAAGAGGTCAACAGTCCAGCCCACTCACCAGTTGCTAGTCCCCCTCTGCCCCTGCAGGTGGGGTGGGGGGAGAGGGATCAAGAAGTGGTCAATGCCATATCATGGCGACTGGTCGTTTGGTTGTTCTGGTCGTTAGGGACACTGGCTTTTTATATTTATAGACTAGAGGCTTTTATATTTATAGACTAGAGACCCAGTGCACGAAATTCATGCCCTTGGTGTGTGTGTGTGGGGGGGGTCCCCTCAACCTGGCCTGTGCTCCCTCACAATCCAGGAGCCCAATGATTGATTGCCTCGCAGAGGGAGGCCCCGCCCACCCACCACAGCATCACAGGCCGGGAAGCCTGGGCCTCCCTCAGTGTGGTGATCGTAGGATGATGGCGGGGTCCCCTGACCAATCGCATCGCACCTGCCTTGGCTGGCCTGGCTCCAGTGCGTGTCCATAGCATGGTTGTCTGGACGTCTGGATGGTTATTCTGCTATTCGGCCATTTGGTCTATTTGCATTTTATGCTTTTATTATTATAGATAGCCAAGGGGCATAAGACATGTAAACAACTACTATATATAGAAAAGTAAATATTAAAATAGAGCCTGGCCAGTGTGGTTGAGCATCAACCTATGAACCAGGAAGTCACGGTTTGAATCCCAGTTGGCGCACATGGCCAGATTGCCGGCTCTATCCCCAGTGTGGGACTTGCGGTGGGCAACTGAGTAGTGATTCTTGCTTATCATTGACTAGAGTCCCGATGCACGAAATTTGTGCAAGAGTAGGCCTTCCTTCCCCCTGCTGCTGGCACCAGCTTCCCTCTGCACCCAGAACCCTGCTTCCCTCTGGCACCCAAGACCTGGGCTTCCTTCTGGCTGCCAGCAGGCACCTGGGACCTGGGCTTCCCTCGCAGCCCCAGCTTTGTCCAGAAGGTTGTCTGGAAAGATGTTTGGTCTAATTAGCATATTACACTTTTATTATTATAGATATTTTTTTCTCTCCCTCTCCTTCCTCTCTGAAGTCAATAAAAATATATTGGGGGGGAAAGGAATTTCTTACCCTAATTTGTACTTAATAAATATTAATGGAAAAATGAGAAAAACAATATGAAAGATTAATTGGAGAGAATTAAACTAGAGACAGTCCAGGTGGGAGGTTAATTCATTAGTTTAGATAAGATATAATTAAAGCCTGAACTATAGATAAAGGAAGAGATTCTAGTCTGTTGGATTTACTATTTTATTAGATTGATGATAGAAGAGAAAAAGAGGAAGGGAAAAAATTGAAAAATCATTATGTAGTTTTCTCCTCAGAGACATAAAGAATAGTGGCGCCATTATCCAGGGTTGGAAATGCAGGATGGATTTGCTGAATAGAATTGCTGGGTCATATGGTAATTCTATGGTTAGCTTTTTGAGGAACTCCCAAACTTTTTTCCACAAAGGCTGTACCATTTTAAATCCTTATTAGTAATGCACAAGTGTTCCAATTTCTTCACATCTTTGCCAACACCTATTATTTGACTCTTTGATTATAGTCATTCTAGTGGGTATGAAGTAATAGCTCATTTTTGTTTTGATTTACATTTCCTTAATGAATAATGATTTTGAGAATTGTTTCATGTGCTTATTGACCATTTGTGTATTTTCTTTGGAGAAATGGCTATTCAAATTCCTTGCCATTTAAAGAAATTTTTTAAAAACGTTTTATTTATTTGCAATTACCTTTGCCCATATTTTATTGGGTTAACCCAATTAATAATTGATTATATATTCTAGATATTAGGCTCTTATCAAATACATGATTTGCAAATATTTGCTTCCAGCTTCTTGATGGAAATATTAATAGAAAAATTAGAGAAAAATGTTTAACTTTGATAAGTCCAATTTATCTTTTTTTTTTTTTAATTATATGTGCTTTTGATGTCATATCTTAAAAACTGTTGCCTAATCCAGGGTCATGCACTTTAATATATATATATATATATATATATATATATATATATATATTTTTTTTTTTTTTTATATAAATTATTATTATTATTATTTTTTTTTACAAAGAGGAAGGGAGAAGGAGAGGGATAGAGAGTTATAAACATAGATTCAGCTGCCTCCTGCACACTCCCCACTTGGGTTGCGCCTTTACTCTTTTATTAGATAGGATACTTATATGCTAGATATAGTAGGCAATTTTTTTTTTTTTTTAAGCATCATAGGTGATTCAGATAATGACCCAGATTTAGGAACTATAGTATTAGTAGGCCATTCTTCCTTCTTAGTGAATCTTCAGACCTGAGATAATTTTATATATAGGCTCTTAGAAAATGATCTTACACTAATTAATCTTAGCAACTTTTGTTTTGCCTGACTTTTTTCTTCTCTCATTTCTCTTCAATAGGTTATGCCAAAGTGGCTTCATTCATACAGATGAACCAAGGATTGGGATAGCAAGTATAAAATTAGCATCAAACAGCTGATTGCCCAGCAGGATGCCATCAACTAACAGAGCAGGCAGCCTGAAAGACCCTGAAATTGCAGAGCTCTTCTTCAAAGAAGATCCTGAAAAGCTCTTCACAGATCTCAGAGAAATTGGCCATGGAAGCTTTGGAGCAGTGTATTTTGTAAGTTTTAAAAACTTAATGTCAGTAACTAGCATTTACTTAATATCCAGTTCTGGCAGAGTAAAAATCAATAATATAAAGAGATATAGGCCATAGTACATTTTATAATCACTTGAATAGATGTGTGTGTGTGTGTGTGTGTGTGTGTGTGTGTGTATAATATAAGAATAGTTTTATTTATGGAGCGTGGATTATTGAGAAATGTGAAAGAATATTATTTTGCTTTACCTTACATGTTTAGAGGTGGTTTTTTTTAAAAAATATATTTTTATTGGTTTTAGAGAGGAAGGGAGACCGAGATAGAGATAGAAACATCATTGATAAGAGAGAGAATTATTGATCGACTACCTCCTGCACATTCCCCACTGGGAATCGAACCCGCAACCCAGAATTGACCCTTGATCTCCTGGTTCATAGGTTGACACTCAACCACTAAGCCACATTGGCTGAGCACATGTTTAAAATTTTTAGCTCATTGTTTTATCACTTGTATTGCTATAGAATTAAACATTGCAGAACACTTGACTTCTGTAAAGTCCCATAAAGAATCAATTTTAGTATTGTGAAAATGAAGGATTATTATTTGGCAGAAGGATATGAACCAATATCTTTTTCTTAGTGTGTATGTCTGTACTTTATGCTAAAAAGAAGTCAAATAACCATTTTTAAATATATATATATCTTATTGATTTTTTTACAGAGAGGAAGGGAAAGGGATAGAGAGTTAGAAACATCGATAAGAGAGAAACATCGATCAGCTGCCTCCTGTACACCCCCTACTGGGGGATGTGCCTTAACTGGGTTCGAACCTGGGACTCTTCAGTCCCCAAGCCGATGTTCTGTCCACTGAGCCAAACCAGTTAGGGCCAAATAACCATTTTTAAGTATATAGTTTGTGGCATTCATTATATTCACAATTTTGTACAACTATTATTACTATTGATTTTTAAATTTTTTCATCACCTCAAACAAAATCTCTATATCTATTAGCAATACAAATTTCCCCCTCCACTAAGCCCCTGGTAACCTCTAAACTGCTTTTTTCTCTGTAATTTGCCTATTCTAATATTTGATATAAATGGAATCATATGATACTTGTTACTTTAGCATCTCTTCACAGGTCATCCATGTTGTAACATCTATTGGTAGTTCATTCCTTTCTATGGTTGAATAATATTCCATTGTATGGATATACTATGGTTTGTTTATTTGTTCATCTATTGATGGACACCTTTTGGCTATTGTGAATAAATGCTACAGTGAATTTCAGCATACAAGTATTTATTTCATTCCCTGTTTTTGAATTTTGTTGTGTTTATAAGAGTGAAAATATCAGATTACATGAAATTCTATGTTTAAATTTTTGAGGGAATGCCAAACTACATCATAGAGTCTGCACTGTTTCCATTACCACCTGTATGTAGTGGAGTTTAATTACTCTATATCCTCACAAATGCCTCTTTTCTGTTATTTTGATTGTAGCCTTCCTAGTAGATGTGAAGAGGAATCTTGTGGTTTTGATTTGCATTTTCCAAATGACTAATAAAGTTGAGCATCTTTTCATGTGCTTATTGGCCATTTATATATCTTAGGAGAAATGTCTATTCAAGTCCTTTTCCCATTTTTTTAAAGTTAGGGTTTTGTCTTTGTTGTTGATGCCTCAGGGTTCTTTATGTATTCTTAATATTAAATTTTTATCAGATATAGGATTTTCAGGTATTTTCTCCCATTTTCTAGTTTTTTTTCACTTTCTTGAAAATGTGTTTGATATGCAAAAGTTTTAAATTTAGATGAAGAGCACTTTATCTGTTTTTTTCTTTTGTGTTTGTATTTTTGGTATCATATCTAAGAATTCATTGCCAAATCCAAGATTATGGAGATTTACCCCTGTGTTTCCTTCTTAGAGTTTTATGTTCTTAGTTTTTATATCCATTTTGAGTTAATTTTTGTATGTGTTGTGAGGTAGTGGTCTACCTTTATTTTCTTGCATGTGAAAATCCAGTTATCCTACTGCCATCTGTTGAAGAGATTATTTTCCCCTCGTTGCATTTTCTTAACTTTCTTGTCAAATCAATTAGCCATATTATATAGGTTTATTTCTGAACTCTCAGTTCTATTCTCTTTGTCTGTATAATCATCTCTGTACCAATATATCACTATTTTGATTAATGTGGCTTTGTAGTAAGTTTGCAGTCAGGAATAACTCTGTTCTTTTTAAGTATAGTTTTGGCTATTTTGGTCCCATTGTAATTCCTTATGATTTTCAGGATTGCTTTTCCATTTTTGTTAAAAAAATTTGTTGGAATTTTTATATGGATTGCTTAAATGTATATATATCATGTTTGGTAGTATCAACATCTGAATCAGTGTTAAATTTTTCAATCTATGAACACAGGATGTCTTTCTAAACATTTATTTAGAGATGCTTTAATTTTGTTCAGCAATGTTCAATGTATAGGTGTTAAACTTCATTGCTTAAATGTATTCATCAGTCTATTATTCTTTTAGATACTGTTGTAATTAGAATTACTTGCTTATTTGCCATTTAGATTATTCATTGTTGCTGTATAGAAATAGAGCTGATTTATGTGTATTGATCTTTTTTATTACTTATTTTTCAATTACAGTTGGCATACAATATTATATTAGTTTCAGGTATACAACATAGTGATTAGACATTTATATCCCTTACAAAGTGATCAATCTATTAAGTCTAGTACCCATCAAATACCATCGTTATTAAAATAGCTATATGTTAAATTAATAATTAATTAAAACATTATTAATTGTGCTGTACTTTATAATCTCTGTGACTATTTTTATAACTGGAAATTTGTAAATTTTAATCTCTTTCATCTTTTTCACCCATCCCTCCACCTCCACCCCCGTCTGGCAACTGTCAATTTGTTCTCTAACTATGAATTTGTTCTGGATCTTTTGTTTATTTTATTTTATTTTTTAGATTACACATATAAGTGAAATCATATGGTATTTGCCTTTCTCTGTCCAATTTATTTCACTTAGCATAATACCTCTAGGTCCATAGGTCCATCCATGTTGCAATGGCAAGATTTCTTTTTTTTTTTTAATGGCTAAGTAATATTTCATTGTTTATGTGTACTTCTATACCACATCTTCTTTATCCATTTGTCTATTGATGGACATTTAGGCTGCTTTTATATCTTGGCTATAAAATATATCTGCTTTTATATCTTGAACCTAGGGTGTGATCATATAGGTGTGTATTTATTTCTGGATCCTCTCTTCTGCTCATTGTTCTATATGTCTGTTTTTATGCCAGTATCATGCTGCTTTGAATCCTATAGCCTTGTAGTATAGTTTGATATCAGGTAACATGCTACCTTCAATTATGTTCTTTCTCAGGATTGCTCTGCTTTAGCTATTTGGAGTCTTTTGTCCCATATGTATTTTAGGGTTAGTTCTAGTTCCGTAAAAAATGCCATTGGTGCCCTGACTGATTTGGCTTGGTGAATAGAGCATTGGCCTGCGGACTGAAGGGTCCTGAGTTCGATTCCTGTCAAGGGCATGTACATTGGTTGCGGGCACATCCCTGGTGGGGGGTATGCAAGAGGCAGCTGGTCGATGTTTCTCTCTCATCGACGTTTCTAGCTCTTTATCCCTCTCCCTTCCTCTCTGTAAAAAATCAATAAAATATATTTTAAAAAATAATAATAATAATGTAATGATAACATTGTATATATTGAGATACAAAGTCTAAAAGTAAATGTGGCAAAATGTTAACCAAGGATTATTCTATGGTAAGAGCTGGAAACTACAGAGCCCTTGGGCCAAATCCAGCCTGTGAATTAATTTTGCTCAGCTTTCAAACTAAGAATGGTTTTTACGTTGGAAAAAGAATAAGAATATGCAAAAGAAAAAGACCATGTATTTGGCTTACAAAGCCTAAAATACTTAATATCTCTTTATATAAAAAGTTACTGACTTCTGACCTAGTGGCAGGCGTAAAGGTTCACCGTGCTGTACCAACTTAGCATCATGCTTGACAGATTTGTATAATAAAATGAGGGAGGGGAAAACAAACAAAACAAAAAAAAAACTGACTTAGGAAGTTAGGAAATTTAGGCTCAAGTTAGGACAACCACAGGTATACTGCATGAAAGCATAGAGGAGGACTCTATGGCAATTGCTCTGAGCAAGTGTTTTTTGTTAACTGTCTTGATGTCTGGGAAACAGTGCACTATGTAGATGAGTAATTTTTGAATGTAGCTCAGAATTGAATATTTTTGCTATAATTCCATTTCTAAATCACCAGCCTTTATATTTTGTAGTATCAGACTATCTCAGAAAAACCCGTGTGAGAGTTTATGTGTTTCATGTGTGAGTATATGTGCATGAATGTATGCTTCTGTTTTTATGTTTCTTTTTGACAGGGCTATATGTGTAGTGTCTTGTATATAGTGTATATGGAGGAAATAACCTCTTGTCATTTTTTTTAGATTAAAAATAGTTCTTATATCTCTGAATTTTCATTAATTGACAGTAGGGATTGCATTAAATTTAAAAATCCTCTTAAATGAGCCAGCTCTGGTGGCTGTCTCATCAACAAAGTTAATCAAGGACTTGTAGCTTAAGTATTTGAAACCAAAGAGTCAGATGTCTAAAAGAACCCCTATCTCTAGATTGCCAGGAAGATAAACATTCTCTCTTATTTTCCAATACCTTAAATAGAACCAACGTGATGTCAATAGATGGGCCACAGAACAGTGGCCTGGGAAACAGGTAGCTAGCCAGTAAATGTGGTGGATCTTGTATGATTATAGCTCTACACCATTTATTTATTTTACAAAAGTCTTTTCCTTCATTTATAAATTTTCTAAGATGCTACCAACCTGTATTCTTTTTTTTTTTAATGTATATTTTTATTGATTTCAGAGAGGAAAGGAGAGGGAGAGGTAGAAATATTAATTGATCAGCTACCTCCTGCATGCCCCCTACTGGAGATCGAGCCTGCAACCCAC